TGGACATCCTGCTAGACCACATACAGTCAAGAGAAGGAGACATTTTGCATTCCTGATCTAGCAAGACAGCTGGTGTTTCGGCAGTACCATGTCCTCAAATCATTTCCTACTCTCTAAAAGGTGAAATATTTCTTAACACATACACTTTGATTGCCTTCCTTGTTCTGCAGCAACCCCTTTGTGATGCCACAGATGTTGTGTATTGGGTACAGGAAAAGGAGTTAGGCCTAAGACCGTACTCACTTCTACCTGACTATAGACGAAGTACGTGCCGTCTGCCAGTACCTCCAGCTCGCCACTCCGGGTGTGCAGCTTAAACACTTTCGGGTTCATTGTTATGCGAGACCAGTCATTAAGAATTCCACCTGAAAGATCTCAGCATGAGAAAATGGCAGTCACTCAATAGTCGTCAAGAAAAGAAACATGAAAACAGCACAAACATGACAAGATCAAGTTAGGACATTTTATATAAAAGGTGGTGATTGGTTTAAACTGAGATGTCACATGAATGCCAAGACAGCAAGTTCAACAGGAGTCATCACCAGTCTGGGTAGGGACAGCCACACCCAAGAGGGAGCTATTAATCAACATCTGCCAAAATAAAGAAGAAAGATGAGTGCAAATGCCTAGTGGCTGTCAAGCTCTTGGTAACAGAAAGGAAGATTTTCACAAAATCCACTACAATCAGAGGTTAGAGAAATCTTAAGGCAGATTCTCTTAATTCTGGTGGGTGTCCACGTTTCTTGTACTGAAAAAGGAACGTGCAGCTGGCTTTGTTTTCCAAACTGTCCTCCTCTTCCTCGGATGCTGAGAGGACCATAACAATGACCACAGAATACGACTGTTGGGGCAGAGGGGATACAGAAGGAGGGACGCAGGTATGGAATAACTCGGAAGATGATCGGGTTCCACCCAGCCACTCCCATGCAGAGAGTGGGCAGAAGTTCAGAGGAAATCCCAAATGTGAAATGTCCCCTCCTTCGGTATCCTACGAAGGCTGCATTTACCCAGGGGCCACAGAATGTTAGAGAATGGAAGGAATGTGCTCTATCTCCAAGCCTTTCACTAGTCGATCTAAAGGTTGAAATTTGCAGTCTTCCGAACCGTGCAGTTGAGTCCACAACTCCACATATGTACAATCAAAATATGCACATTAGGGAAAGGGTGTACCAAAAATTCATAAAGCATGTATACTTTAAAAAATCACATTATGAAAAGGGCAATAAAAGCATGTATTAGAGATATAGGAATGTTTATACTTTTTTTGGGTTTTTTTGCTGAGTTGGTCTAAATGAAACTTGTGGCCAAGAGTTGTACAATGTGGCTGGTGCAGAGATACCATCCTGTGTCCCATCAGATGCCCCTGCTAAAGGAAAGCAGCCTTCTCTTGCAGCTCTGCAGCTAATAGACTGTCCTTGACTGCTATTGGAAAAAAAGTGCTCGCCTATCATTTGACCCACTGCAAGTATAAAACTGGGCATTAAAAAAACACAACAACTTAGTCTGAGTGAAGCCTTATTTGGGGGAGGGGGAGGCAGGGGAATGGAAGAATTGGGCTGATGGATGGGCTGTTCTCTAGTCCACCTTGCCCCGGGGCTTTTGGGTGGGGATAGAGAGGGGAATAGCGGTGTGTAGCAGCTGAGATGCCAGAGGCCGGGTTCTAGTTCTCCCCGCTAGCCACGGGCTCCCTGGGCGGCTTTGGGCCAGTCATGCTGGCTCAGGGTTGTTTGGGAAGAATCCTAGGAAGGAGCACTACGTACAACTCCTCCAGCTCCTGTACAAAAGGCGGGGATTGACGCTGCAATTGGGTGTTGTAATACTTCCTAAGAACCAGCAGGTACTGATCTGGTATTCCGTTCCTCATTTTCATTGCCTTTCTCAGTGCTCGGTCCTTCTTCAGTTAATTTATCCAATGCTCCCTCCGTCTCCTTCCCACTCCTCCCCTGCCCCTTTCGTAACATTTGTAATCTCTTATTTTGAAACAATACTCTTTCAATTTATGCTAGCACTAGATTTCTCCCACAAATTCCTCATTAATTAGCTCTCTTTTTCCACTCTTGATTTTTTCCAGCTGCTTGGGGAACCACTCACCCAGTCAGCTCTCATTATCAGTGATTTTGGCAGCAGACCTGAAAATCATCATTTGGGGAATACCGAGTCACAGCCAACTTCTCCAGGAAGTGCCTCCCCCAGAGAAGGCGGGCAAGGTGTTCCCCCCGGCCAGGCGAGCAGAAGGTGGAGCAACTGGACGTGACAGGCTGGGGTGTTGGCTGGGCTTGCTTTTCGGCTCTTTTTCTTGAGAGACAAAGTAAATAAATTGCAGAAGGGCTCATCCACACACCTCCCTGCCCCAACTGTTTTGAAGGACATTGAAGAAGGGGCCTTTATTTAATTAAACAGAACAATGACAAAATAAAAGAAGAAGAAGAAAAGAAAGAGGAGCCAAACAAAAACAAAAACAAAAAAATTTGAAGAGGCTAGGCCTTAATACACTTAATACATAAAATACATTTATGGCCCCAATTGCTCAGTGAAGACCTGATTTTGCATGTGACGTACAAACAATCTCTCTGCAAGCATTGGTTACAGATGGATGATTACAATGAAATAGGGTATCCTTTATTGAAACTGTTGTGTAGCACGTATGAGAAGCCCTTTTCTTTCTCTTATTTCTGAGGAAGACATCCTTACAACAGAGCCTCTGCTGAGGCAAGATGAAGCCAGGTCAAAGAGGTCAAGCAGGAAAGTGATGTTTGCCAGTGGAAAATGAAACTAGCATCCTGTACCCAAACATTTTTGTTAGGGGGGCTGTTCTGGGGTAAAATTAATCCATGGAGTGAATAAATTAACCTCTTTTTGCTGTTCCCACAACATACTTTCTGCTTGGGTCTTGACTCAGTTCTGAGCATTGTGGGAATATGGCCTGGGTCACTAAGAGGAGAGCCATGGGCCTCATTCAAATGGTGCTTGCAAGAGTTTTGCTGAGAGCCTTGAGGTGCTACAGAGGTTATCAGAGAACTCAAGTTGAAAGACCAAATAGGAAATAGAAAGGGTGGTCAGCCTGCACAAGGAAAAAGGGCTGCAGGTGACCTGGGCTTACCGGAAGCATCTCATCCCTCCCCGTAATAACCAGCCTCTCTCTTGTAGGGATGTGTATCATGGGATGGAATTGGGTTGAATCTTTTGGCCTGAGCCGCCTTCTAGAGAAATGAGCATTTTGCTTGCTTGGCATTCTCATTCCAAAGAGCAGAAGGAGAAAAAGTGCTAATGGGGAAGTTCTAGGTTTCTTGAACAATAGTCCAGATTCAGAAATGAATCAGGATGAGATACTCACCTTTCAGCTAAAAGCAGGCCAGGCTACTTCCTGAGCTGAAGATCTCATTGGGAAACCCAGGATGTGTCATGATAATAGTGTGGGGCCAGACCAAGATTCAAGGCCTCCCTTGGCCATGGAATTCAGTGGGTGACACTGGACCAGATAGTCTCTCTCAGCCAAACTCCCTTACAGGGTTGTTGTGGTAGGAATGGAGGAGGGAGCGGTAAGTACACTGCTTTGAGCTCTCAGAGATAAATCAAACAAGAAAAATAATAAAGAAGACAACCTGAACTGTACTGGGAAAATACCTTTTGGGTCAAGTCTGTGGGTTGCTGTTGAGTAAGGTGGGAAAACTTTGGGAAAACCTGATCGATGCAAGAATGAATGGCATCCCAAATGGGAATATTTCACATGGCAACTCTTTGTGTCCATTTTTAGTGGGGGTTTTTTGTCAGTGTCGTGGGCTGTGGCCCCAAAGTGTTACTTTATTACTTCTCTTCCTTTTTCTCTACAAAGAAACTTTCTACAGTATTTGCTAGAATATTTGCATATTTACACACTGTTTAGTTTCTCATTGCAGAATAATTCAGAAACCTTCAACACTGCCTGCCCACCTCAGTGAAGCCCTACAAAACTCAATGTGCTTTCAGGAAGATGAGTTGAAGGGGGCTCTCCATATGCTGCACAATCAACTGGAGAAGCAGACATTTGGGAAGAGTCAGAAGAGCTGCAGAAGCCCACCAGAGAAGTTCTGCCCCAAGAGCTGTGGAACTAGAATTTTAAGGGAGCATTCACAACTGAGAACCCCCCCCAAAGTAAGTTTGACTGCACATCAAGGTTTGTTTCAACAGTAGACACATGTAAAGCAAAAAAGCATCACCTTCGAGGCAAATGGGGTAGAAGAGGGACATGGAAGACACCAAAATAGGAAGCAAAGAGGCAACTTGATAGAAGTTACAAGTTGCTACTCTGAGGCCTGGAAGATTAAGGAGAAACTACATGGAACATCTGGGGCAAAATTAGATTTGCCACAATTAGAGGCAAAGAGCAGGTTGAGGCAGTGAAGATGTATGGCGATCATGAAAACAAAATACCTGGATTTACATGGTAACTAATTTTAATGAATTAGACACTAGAAAATGAAGTGGAAAGAAAAAAAAAGGATGATCAGGTGAGTCATATATGCTGTTGAAATGTTAAAATCAGAAACCTGGGAAATGCCCCATTCCTTTTTTTAACAGAAGCTAGGAAACTGACACTGTGAGCTGTGGGTCTTTGTTGTGGTTGAGTGCTTGGCATTCTTACCATTCTTGACTTGAATCGCAGACCCCTGTCCTTGGAGATGAACTACTGCTGGCTGCAAAACAGAAGAGAGCAGATTCAGATTAAAACAAGTGTAGCTTTCCAGTTTATAGCAATGACCAAGTGTATATCTTAAACATTTACAATATTGCTGGAAGAGACCATGAATTTTTGACCTCATGGAACTAAAGTGCATTCATTTCTATAAATAACTTATTTACTCATCAAGAATTTCCTAAATACCAAGCTATGAAAAATGATTGACACAAATTTGTGAAACTTACTTGAGCAAATAATATCTTTTAGCAAAGTAAGGTAAGAAAAAGATGATAAATCTAATCAGGTTGCCTGAATTTTATGCAAGGATGAATGGATGGATAAATAAAACATATCTGGCTAGAAAATTAGCATCTTTGCATTAAAAAGGAGGCAAGATTCATTTGTGACAAGGGTACCTGATGTTTTCCCACAGTGAAGTCCACTGACCTGTGAATCCCTAGGTCCTGCTCTTTCTGTTGTACCTGCAAAATAGAGTTTTTATATTAAGACTGATTCATCGATGGTTTTATATAACCAAGCTTTTTGAAAAGACTTCATCAAATCCCCCCATGGTTTTAGGATTTCATTGGCCTGGAAACGGAGTATTTGAACTATATCTATATCCTGGAAGAACACCTTCCATACCGTAACATTCTATTCTTCTATTCTGCAGTCCGAAAAAAACTATAGCTTTGCCACCTTCGTATAATCACTGCTTCCTCCCAACTCTAGTACAGAATACTTACACTACAGTTGCAGCTTCTCATTCCTGTTTATTCATTCCCATTTAGTAAAGCATTTGTCACTCTGAGTTATAGTCCAATGAGCCATAATTCAGAAAGTTCCCATATAATATCTGGTATTTCTTTTGACTACATAATCAAGATATCAAAAGAAAAATATCTTGCTTCACAATTTATACTCAATATTGTCAGAATAATGCAGTATTGTTATGTATTTATGGGCCTTTAAACTGGTTAGGAATGGTGTGTCATTTTGAAATTTCGCACTTTTTTCGGGGGGAGAAGGGAGAATGGAGAGAGATCTATCAGTCTTAGTTCTACAATGCATTTGGCATAATACCGGTTGATTGACTGATTACAGAAACACCCCACAGGACATTATGACGATCCTGATCCTCCTCCTCCTCCTCCTCCTCCTCCTCCTCCTCCTCCTCCTCAGTTTATGTCAAGTTGCAATACTCTTTTCTCACAGCTACATCAACCATCACATTTTGCTTTATACTTAAACCACAAGCAGCTTCAGTATAAACTCAGCAATAGTTGTGACTGTTCATCCAATGACAGATTTGCTGCTTCGTAAGGTGGAAAGTGACATAACTCAGACCTGCTCCAGTAAGTTCACTAATTCCCTGCTGCGTACTTCTGTGCAGAAAAGACAGCAAGGGCCAGGAGGTGGCCCAGGCAGGATCTGGGAAGATTCCTTTGCTCATCGTGAAATTCTTCATGGGCTACGTGGAGATCAGATGTGTAGTTTGGACAATCCTGCCCTATTTTGTTGCCCTTTGGGATGGGCCGGATTCCAGGCATTTTATGAGGTGCCCAAGACAGTTTCTCAAATTCTGTATGTGCCTACAAGCCCCCAAAGGTTGACAAGCCTTCTCTAGGCACATATTAGGGTGATGCTTGTGCTATTTTGCAGTAATCTTTCCTCTTTCTTACATGCATATTCTCCCTCCTGAGCACTTACCAGTTGGACCTTGCAACCCAGGGGGTCCCTGGGGGCCTGGAGGTCCTGGAGGTCCTGGGGGTCCCATCACTGTGGTGCCTGGAATGCCAGGGATCCCTGGAATTCCAGGGGGGCCCTGGGGTCCAGGTGGTCCAGGAGGGCCTTGGGGCCCAACAGGTCCTGGAGGGCCAGCTTTTTTGCCTGTGAAAATACAGGGTTACTTTTTCATGTGTATAAGCATGGTTCCCACACTTGCATATCTCTTGCCGCCTGAATATGAGTGCATTGGTTAACAGGACTGACACAATTATTTCTTCCAATACCCCATCAACATATAATTCTTCAAAAATAACCAGACATAATCTAGGAAGTGAACCCACTGACTGGGCAAACAGAAATTTGCCAGTGGACCAACAGAAGGAAGAGACAATGAAGAAAAAAGAGTGAATAGGGAAGGATTGTGCACTTGTCCATGAGAAGTGTAAAAGTCTGTTGGATAGCTGCTGACTGTGATGACTATATCCTAAGGGCTGTTGATTGATATTGCTTCCTGTTGAGTAAGCAGAGACTGTAAGAGGAATGTAAAGCATCAAGGCCCCAAGGAATGAATTCAGAGAGTGATCAATTTAATGGTGTACTTCATTGTGTGAGTTAATGAAGAACTCACACATGAGATAATAATAAAAAAATAATTAGATAAGAAATATAAGATATAAATATTATTTCAATAATAAGAAAAAGAAAAGTCTCATACAGAATTTACTAGAAGTAGCAAGATAAGTGGACTGGTCTCTGCACTCATTTTCTGCAATGCTTGTGACATTTTTTGCATTCCTGTCTGAGAGAAATCACATATATTTGCAAGCTTATGGCAGTCTTGAAAAAGAAAGGGGAAAAAAGGATTGGAACAATTAGTGGCCACTCTTCAGCTTATGGGAGAAGATAAAGATTTCTCAGATCAAAGAAAGCAGATGCTTTCACAAGAGCTGAGAGAAGAAGAGAATCAAACGAAGTAGCAAGCACAGCAGATGACAGTGACTACCAGAAGCAACAGACACAGAAGATATTCTGTAGTACTTGGAACTCAGATCCAGCTTGCAAACAAAAAAATTATAGATGGCAATCAGAAAATGGGGGGGGGGGGCAGTGGTAACTGAATGCTGGCCTTGTGAAGCTGGTAAGGCTGCTTGTGATCCTCCCTGTGCCCCCTGCAATGCTACGAACCTGGCCTCCGATTCAGGTGGTGTTACTGATGCCCTGGTTTGCTGGGGTGCTTTTCCTGGAGAGAGAGATTTGGGGCAGTGTCCTGAAGAGGACACAGAGGGACTCAGGGTGGGACAGGCAGTGCCAGGCTGGGAGGAACTTGTGGCACCTGTAGATCTATATTGCCCACTCAGAGCTCTGTCCTCTGGACTGGGGCTGGATGAAGGCCCATTGGCCCCCTGCTTTGCTCTCAGGGACTGGCAGCTTGATTGCCCAATATTCACTTTCTGTTCTCCTACTGGGTGGGGGAGGGCTATAGTTTGATAGTGCATGTTAGGGGCTATCATAGCAGTTTGCCCCCCCCCCCCCCAGCTGAGTGCCAGGAGGCAGGTGTGGTCTGTGGGAGGGGTTCTGCTGGGAGGCCTGGGTATGTAGGGTGTTTAGGAGAGTGACTGTTGTAGACGTTTGGGTGGGTGTGGTGGGTTAGTGGAGTGAATGGATGCCTTGGCCTGGGAGGAAGAAGCAAGGGTAGGAGGGCTCCGGGTGGAGGAGAGGGGGTAGGCAAGAACATTGGAACTGTGACAGGCAGCGGGGAGAAATAGTGGGATCCTGAGGGCAGGCCTCACTCAGGGACATCGGGCTCACTGGCTGACAGCAACCCCAATATCCAGCCCTGAATATCTGCCCCTGAGGCCAGGTGACCCTGGACTCCAGCTATTGCTGTTAGATATTGTGTAACAGTAGATATTGTGCAATGAAACTGCATTTATCTACAATTCGATTTTGGATGAGGCAGCCAACCTGACCTGTGTTACTGAAACTTGGGTGGGCCTGGAGGGGGTTGTTCCCCTCTTGGAATGTGCCCATCTAGGTTTTGGGTTGCAGTTGTCATCCATGTGTTGTTCAGAGGCTTTACTCTGCAGATAATCAGATGTGAGGCTCTTTGGTTGAAGTTGAGCCCTAAGAAAGAGTTCGGTTCGCTGGTGTGCCATTTTCCCTGCTGCCCAGCATCACCCCAGCTGAGCTGCTTATTCCATTGCTGGGCTGGCAATAGAGACCCCAAGGCTGCTGGTTGTAGGGGATTTCAATTTGCCACCTGGTAAAGTTGAATTTTGGGCAGCTCAGGAGTTTGTGGCCATCATGGCAACTATGGACCTGTTCCGAGTCATTGTAGGCTTGATGCATATTGGGGATCACACTCTAGAGCTAGTTTTTGTTTTGAGGCAATTACAACATGATCTGATTTCAGAGGACATTCTCATCCATCTTACCATGGTCAGAACACTCTTCGATTGCTTTTTGGTTTGCTGATGTCACCCCACCTTGCAGGGGGATAGGGACTATTATATTAGCCCACCCCAGGCACCTCATGGACCTGGCTGGATATCAGAAGGGGCTAGAGTTTTCCCTGAAGATTTGGTGGGCAGTCTAGTTGGTGCCTTGGTCACAGCCTGGAATAAGGGAGTGGCAGAGGCCTTAGACTGGATTGTTCCTATGCGGCCATTCCGTGTGCTGATCCCAGGGTGTACCTTGTTTTCTGAGCAGCTTTGGAAAATGAAGTTGCCCATACAATGGTGTCTGCCTCTCTGAGGAAGAATCTGGCAGCATAGGCAAGTTGCACTAGTTACCAGTTGGCTCTTGGTTGCAATTCAAGGTGCTGGTTATTGCCTATAAAGCTGTTAGCATACAATTTGGTTACTTGAGGGACTCCAAATGTTTCCGCCCATCCAGTGAGGTTAAGCAGACTTTGGGTCCTGTTGATAAAACAATGTCATCTTGTGGGATGCAGGAGGCATGGCTTCTCTGTTGTGGTACCTGTCCTTTGGAATGATATCCCCCAGAGATTCATCTTGCTTCCACTTTAGTGACTCTCCAAAAATAATTAAAAACCTGGTTGTTCTCCCAGACCTATGGTTTTGTTTTGGGTTTTTGTGATATTATGTTAGCCTTCCAGTTGGCTATGTTCTTGGATATTTACTTTTTTCTATTTATTTTTAATTGTGAGCTGCCCAGAATCACGGAGGAGTCAGGCAGCCTGAAAGAGATTTGGTTTCTAGGTTTATGTCTGAGTTAGCACAAGATGCATTATACTTCATTAAAACTGGTAAAAGTATGTTTGCATAAAGTGTGGCATTTCATCAAGAGGGCTTTAAACTGAATATTGGATGTCTGGAAATAAACAAAGAAAAGACCCTGAAGCAAGGAACTTGGATAAAGACTCCACATTACAAGGAAAGGAGAGCATTGAAATAATGGGGCTTATCAAACCATTCAGTGGAAAAGCTAGAAGGAACATGGGCTCATGAAATCCATGGCCTCCACTGTCTACATTGCAATGATTTGAGTGTGGGTAATAAATAAAATGAGTTTGAAATCATAGTATAGGGAGACAGATATGATTTATAACCAAAATCTGCTAGGATGATTCCTATGACTGGAATTTAACAATGAAAAAGCATTTTCAAAAGGAAGAGAAATGTTAGAAAGGGTGGAGATTAGATGTATCCATGCCTTCTTACAAATTCAGGTGAATGAACTTGATGGTATCATAGACAGCATCTGAATGAAAGCAAGTGGGGTAACAAATAAAACCAATGCTGTGTCTACAATCATCTGTCCAAACAAGATCTGGATGAAGCTTCCAAAAATAAACTGTAAATCTTTCAAAAGAGCAGGCAGTAAGGAAGGAACTACAGTGGGGCAAAAAAGTATTTAGTCAGCCACCAATTGTGCAAGTTCTCCCACTTAAAAAGATGAGAGAGGCCTGTAATTTTCATCACCTCAACTATGAGAGACAAAATGCATCTTGCTTGTTTGTAGGTGACCAAATACTTATTTTCCACCATGATTTGCAAATAAATTCTTTAAAAATCAGACAATGTGATCCATTTTGTCTCTCATAGTTGAGGTGATGAAAATTACAGGCCTCTCTCATCTTTTTAAGTGGGAGAACTTGCCATCTTGCTTGTTTGTAGGTGACCAAATACTTATTTTCCACCATGATTTGCAAATAAATTCTTTAAAAATCAGACAATGTGATCCATTTTGTCTCTCATAGTTGAGGTGATGAAAATTACAGGCCTCTCTCATCTTTTTAAGTGGGAGAACTTGCCATCTTGCTTGTTTGTAGGTGACCAAATACTTATTTTCCACCATGATTTGCAAATAAATTCTTTAAAAATCAGACAATGTGATCCATTTTGTCTCTCATAGTTGAGGTGATGAAAATTACAGGCCTCTCTCATCTTTTTAAGTGGGAGAACTTGCCATCTTGCTTGTTTGTAGGTGACCAAATACTTATTTTCCACCATGATTTGCAAATAAATTCTTTAAAAATCAGACAATGTGATCCATTTTGTCTCTCATAGTTGAGGTGATGAAAATTACAGGCCTCTCTCATCTTTTTAAGTGGGAGAACTTGCCATCTTGCTTGTTTGTAGGTGACCAAATACTTATTTTCCACCATGATTTGCAAATAAATTCTTTAAAAATCAGACAATGTGATCCATTTTGTCTCTCATAGTTGAGGTGATGAAAATTACAGGCCTCTCTCATCTTTTTAAGTGGGAGAACTTGCACTAAATACTTTTTTGCCCCACTGTAGTTCCTTCCATTTTGTCTCTCATAGTTGAGGTGATGAAAATTACAGGCCTCTCTCATCTTTTTAAGTGGGAGAACTTGCACAATTGGTGGCTGACTAAATACTTTTTTGCCCCACTGTAAATACCCCGCCAGCTACTGGGAGACAATTCTGGCTGACAACTTTCTTCTTCAAAGGCTGGACAAAGGGACCAAAAGAAACAGCTGTCCTTGACTTCAGACTAAGCAATATGGAAGATGTAGCTGAAGAACTATGGTATATGTGATTGTGCAATGTGAAGTTCTTGATTTTAAGAGAAATTAAAACCACGTGTAGTCAAAATACCTTTTCTCGACTTCAGAAAAGTAGATTTTAATAAATTAAGAGCACTGATACATATGGCAGGAGAAGCCAATGC